ACCTTTTTGGAAGAAGCTATATATTTGTTCCGAGACTTCAAAAAACCAATCACCGAGAGCCACATCAACATATATATGAACAAAGGAACTTTATTTCAATAATTATTTGGAAGACATATATATTAACGCAATCATTCCAATGTAATGGGATGTGTAATTATGATTGTTATTTGACATGCTGCAAAATTGGCATCCTTTAATTGGCTAGTTTGGCCAAGTACCGTGGAACATGTGTTGATTAATGCCTCACACATTTATCCGGAGAGATTTTGCACTAATTTTGCCCTCAAAAGCAATACTCAAATATTTTTAGTTCTTAATTGAAAGATATATATATATATATATATGTTATATATATATGAATTATACGACATGTGGATCACGCTTTTAAATTTTCACTTGCTAATTATTATCCGTTAAAAAGTGGAAAAATTCATTATGTCTTGGTACGTACCATTCACCCCAAGCGAATGGAACGTTATTCAAATATGAAATTATGATTTAGCCGAAGTTTGTTCTTCATATACAATGAGCCGAAAAGAAAGCAAACAAGAAAACATAATAAAACAAGAAAAGGATAATTCTTTTGCTTTCAATCACTCATCTACAAGACAAAAATCGCCGTGAATTTTCTCATGCTATTCGCGAAAAGAAGAACTGAAATATATTATTCTTGTTCTTGCTAATTCCTACTATTTTATGTTGTAGGCGTCCTAGTTGATATATACGTGTATAGAATTGCCTATTTTAATTCATCTATACATAGGTTTTTTTTAGGGTTTTTCTACGTCTAACATGTAAGATCATTTTTAATGCACTACCAAATAACTATGCCAATATCAAGGTATGACATTTAAATAATAAAATTACACTTTAATGTAGTGCTTTTTTTTTTTGGTTAAATGTGGCATATCCTATATACTTGGGTGTCAAGATATATATCAAATTTTAGCATTTGGAATTGTTAATTTACTATTAGTTGAATGTGTTGACTTTTCGTTTGATAACTACAACATCATTGTTTCTAATTTGTTCAGCAATAAACATTTAACTTAACAAGGTTTCAAAGCTTAAACTTATGACAAAGAATAGGTATAACACTCAATATTATGTATTTGAGCACGTACAAAATATCAAATATATTATATTAAATGTGTGCTAAGTATGGGATTGACATTTATATCAGAGATCATGATCTAATTAATAAGATATTTATTTTATATATTAATGATCAATTCCAAACAAGCATAACGTAAATAATTTATTTATCTTAAGCTTACATGATATATATAAAAAGTTATACTTATATAGAATAAATGCCCTTGTATGAACAGATAGCTCACATTAAAAAAAAAAAAAAAAGAAAAAAGAAAAAGATAGCTCAAAGAATGTATGATAATATATACATATATGGGTAGGACCAAGAGTCGTTAGTGATACAAAAAGAGTTTGCGTAAGGGGCCGAATTGTACCATGTAAAAAGCACCTATAGTTCATATAACATTTGTCAGTTACCCACGAACTGGTCCACATGGTATGCAAGAAAAGCACATAACATTTATCAGTTAGTCCAATCAATGTGCCACAGCTGGCTTTTGCACAAACTTACATTACAAAAAAAGCATTCACTATATAGGGATTGTAGAATAATATTATACTATATTCATAGGAAAAAGTTTTCATTTAACCTTCTTATTAACTTCCAACATTTTTTTAGTAGGGTCTCTTTATTAGTAGGGGTCAATTTTTATCACTAATTTAATTAAAATCAAGTTAAATTAAAAAAATATACATAATAAATAATTTTTTATACAAATTTAATAATTAAAAATAAAAAGTTATCTGTAGTTTATTTTTTTTGACCTTATAAAAGAAAGTCCCTTAATTTAAAATAAGCTTGATCTTTATTTTATTTTAATTTTGTTTTTTTATAATGTGTTTGGGAAACCTCTTATGCGTTTGTATAGTTGATCCTAAGTCTGGATAAAAGAAAATGGTTGCGGTAGGTTAACAGTCAGTATAAAAATAAGTCACTCTCGTAAATTTTATTCACATAGAAGTTGTTGTTGTTGTTGGGAAACCTCATATTATGTGTGGCAATAGGAGGACATGTGAAGAGAAGGGCAAAGGCATATAGAAGCTGGTGGTCAAATTGTCAAACAAAGACAAAGCATGCCCAACAAGAGCCACGGTGCACAGCGCATGCTAGACAAGCCATGGGCCCACCAGACCCACACCCAAGATGCCCCCATGCTGATGACTACGACCAATCCTAGTTTAATCAATTAACACTCTTTAATACCCCTTGTAAATGTATACTACTATATATCACTATGATTAACTTAGTTCTTATCAATTTCTTTATTTAATATACTCATTACACCCTGTTTGTATGATTTCTATTTTCTTTAATTTGGAGTGGAGATTTAAAACGTTATATCTCGTAGTTAAATCGTGTGGGAAAAAAAAAAAACTGTTAGATAATACCGGCCTAATACAAACGCATTTGATTTTATGTAATTTAGTTGTGATCTTCTTTTCTTTTGATTTTTATAGTACTGTAGTCTCATGCATATGTAATTAGTCTCATCTTTTTTTATAACTAAGGGTTTTCCTTTCATCATCATCATGATTTGGCTTCTTGGCTCCCTATTAATCAGAAGTCATTCATATATATTTATATATATATATGTATATAATAGGTCTTTTATGGAAAGTAGTACTTAGATTGCCTAAGAGTGGGAGAGCAAGAAATCAACAATTTTTGGCCTTAGTATTTAATTATGTTGTCTCATTTCAAGTGTCATATATATATATATATATATATATATATATATATAGCTTTCCCATAGCTATAGTTTGTCAACAAATTAACAGTATCTCCATTATTAGTGTTTTTCTCCCTAGCCATATCACTGATGTATCACCGTTAATTTTTTCATGAACTCCGTCTCTCATATTCCGACCGGTAATATTCACCAAACATTATTAGACGATCAGTAAACTATAGACAAGGCACAACATTATTTATCTGTAATAATGCTT